GAGCTTTCTTCTTGCGGTCCTCTTGCACTTCTGCTTAAGTGTATTCAACGAAAAGCTTGATGTCTGGAAGTGATAGGAGGCCCGAGGCTGGGTGAGGTGTGACACACAGGTACCACTTCGTATTGGCAGGGGAGGGGGCAGAATGCTTGTTAATGGAAAGTCAAATCTCATGCATTTGGCTATTAATGCAGATTATTTAGTACTCTTCCAGGTGCTGGCAGTCCACTACTGGCGGAATTAGTCTCCAAGTGCAGTTCCTTAGGCAATGGAGCTATTTTAAAACAAAAAAAAAGTAGTGTCTGTCCCTTTGGAGAAACTCTGTATCACCTTCAACTAGATTCTGCTGTTTGCTGTGCAGAAGAGAATGCCTAGACTCCCTGAATTCAGTTTTTCAGATTTACAAGTTGTTCTAGAGACCATCTTTAGTTTTCTAAAAAGCTGGCTTCTGAAATAGAACTAGGTCTAACTGCTGTTCTCGAATACGGCTGAACAGAGGAGTGAGTGTGTTGTTCACAGGCATAGATGGTGAGGGAGTGCTAATGTTTGAGTCAAAAAATTACCTACACCATGTTATTTGCATGTGACTGTATGAGCACGCTCAGTACAGCTTTAACAGTTACAACAAGTCAGAGCAGACCCTGGAAAACCTAAGGAGGAGAGAGTGTAAATAAGCATGATCCCGGGCCTGAGTGTTGGGATTTTTCTGTTAATGTCCATAGTACCTGAATGGAATAACATGCAGCATCTGTAGGAGAAACTTCTGTTGCTGTTGTCGTTCTAAGTCTGCCTGTCACTTCTCTTTAACATCTTCTACCCCACTGGCCTCTGACGGGGATAATCATAAAATGGTAAGGGGCTGACATGCATTTATTTTCTTTCCCCCCTAGACTTTTTTTCTTAATTTCCATTGCTAGTTCTCATGAAACTGTAGCCAGAAATACCTTTCAGTTTTGTAAGGATCCAATTTGCTAACAAACCCAGCAATCTACGTTTTATTGCATTTCATAGTCCGGTAACTACAAGATCCTTGCCACTCTACTCAGCTACACAAGAGACAGAACAGGAAGGTGGACACTTGTGAAAGCACTGTGATTGTTAGGGTTATCCTTCAGCGTGGGACTGGTGCATATGGACATTGGAAAGTAATCTGGGGTAGGGAAAACTCTTGAGGTTTAGATTTTAGCCTTGGAGGTTTTATGACATACAGAGCAGGCTTGGGGGAGGTGAGCGCGAGGATTTTCTCCATCATAATCAATGTGTGAAAATAATGATGAGTATATACTGAATAAGAAACCACTTCTGCTTCTCAGAATTACCTGCATTATCCTAGGGATGTTCTCCCATATGCCAGTTTCACTGCAACAAAAGCTCCCATTCAGTTTTTACCGTAACTTATGTTTTGCAGAGCAGCCGTACGAAACGGTTGACTTCAGTGGAAGATGGGCAGAACCATCAAACAGACTTTCTATTTTGTAAAACTACTGAATATTACTCGTGTGAGGGCAGAATACTTTATGCAGTATCTTTAGTTGAACTTCCCTTCGGTGAAGACTCGGAGGGCTTGACAAACTCAGAAACATTTTTGTATTTTAGAACTTTTAAGCTCCCTCGGGGTGGGGATGGGGGAAGGCATTTAGAGAGGATATTGTGGGTTATTGATATTTTCTTTGCTACTGTTTCACTGAATGACTTCCTGTGTCCATCTTTTTGTCACATATTGTCAGCCAGAGGTTTTGAAGTTTGAAGTGTGCAGTTCAAAGCAAACACTCAGCATGAAAGGATGGCTGCAAAAGCAAACCCTGAATCTGAGAGAAGAGAGAATGCATCAGTATTACTTGCTGACGTTCAGGTAGTTGGTAGAATCTGCTTGTTCTTGCTTTGTCCATGATCTAGGCTTCGGAACAGGCACATCGCTGTGCGGCCTGTTGAGTACAGGCACTGTTGGCTGTGCTGAAGAAGCGCGGGAGGTATCTGTACTCTCCTGGCTAAAACATCTTCGAGTTAGTGCTCATGGCTAAAAGCATTCCCTGGGTCCTGTCAGTGAACGAGTTGCTGACAAACTGATCAGCAGGGGAAGGGTGATTAGCCGTGTGTGTTGGGCAGGGACCTGTCGAGTGGAGGGTGTAAAAGGCATTTCTGGTGTCTGTGACTGGAATTTTAAATTAGGGTAACAGAAGCTCTGGAAGCTTTAGATGTTTAATCTAAACACATGCACACCACCCTTATTTTTTTTTTTAATACATACATATCTTCATCAGTACATTATTATGGGATATCCGTAAGTAAATGGAGAGAATGCACAGTCAGTAATAGTAGAAATAGCTGAGTATAGCTACCTCCACAAGAATGAGCAACAATGCTGTATCTGTTGGAAAAACTCATTGCAACATCACCTTTCTATATCAAGTCTTTCCCTTGCTGACTTGTCATGCATAAATTTCATTATATTGTGGATCTGTTTAGCATAGTTGCTCCAATAAAGGTGATACTGAATTGGACTCACTGTAAAATTGTGATGGATTTACTATATCAGTAGTTTGCAGTAGGTGAAGGCCTCTTAGATAACACCTGCATGTTTTCTTGACTTTCAAAGCATGGTAGTGTTATCTTAATGACTATGGCCAGCCAACATACCAGCACTGAAAGCCAGGTGAAACTTTTTGAGTACCTTCTGAAGGAGTGACTGCTGAAAAGAAAGAGCAGAGATGCATAGGATAGGGAGCATGGAGTTGAAATCTGTTGGAAGGAAAGCAAAGTCTGACTTGAATGATTCAGCATTGGGCAGTATAGTGGAAACCATTAATAAGTTGTAATATCTTTGCATTTGCCTGAGCTCATGAAGAGAAAGAAGCTGGGTTATGATTATGCATTGAAAACAGTCATGCAGATCACATCCCCCTGCTTGCTGGAAGGATGCTATGCTGCGTTTTTTCCAGGTGAAAAAGACAACCAAATATGTGAGTGTCATGAATATTAACTGCTTATTTCAATTGCCTTTTATGGGCAGATGGACCCTTGGAAAAAAAAATAGCTGTAAGTTGGCAGCAGAAAGCTCGACTGTGTGAAGCAGAAAGCTTGACTGTGTGGGTTTTTTTGAATATGCATACTTCTGTCTCCAAGCTCAGTCAGGAAAGCTAGGGGACAGATGCCAGCAACATTTTATCCTAGAAAGGGAATGAAAACCAAAGAAGTGTGTGGGATGTTGTGGATTTTTTTCCCTTGAGCGACGTGATGTTGAAATGAGGACTGTAGAGCCCAGAAAGGGTTCACCTTCAGACTGAACAAAGCAATGCAGCCGGATGTTTGCAAGTATTTGGGAAATGGCTGTGGCAGTCACTTTCATGGTGTGCAAATAACCAGAGGTCTGAAAGGGCTATGTTGAAGTGGAATTTCTCCAAACCTAAGGAGAGTCTGCAAGAGTGCTGCAAGGAAGCAGTGGGTGCTGGTCTACAAGAACTGCTTTGGGCTATAAAGGACAATTCTTAAA